CATCTTCTGCGAGCTGACATCCTCGTCTACTGGGCTGTGGCAGACGCTCTGCGCTTGCGCAGTAGCTGTCTTCCGCTGAACATCAGGCACCGCGCATTCGTCCACACCACGGGAATTCGCTTATATGATAAAAAGGTGGTGTATAAGTTGCTTCGAAAGAGCATTTTGCGTGTTTACATCCAACTCTAAGCTATTTGTCTGTAACTTCTAAAACGACGTCTTCCGAGATTAGGGTTACTTACATTTCCTTGCCTGATTGTCTGAACTGCTTCGCGTTCTCTTCATGTTTTTTTTTTTTTTTTTGTAAATTCAGTTCTTAAAACATTGGGTCTTTGTAATCAGCAAATAACTGAGCAACGGAATAAAGTTTTTTTTTCTTTTTTAAGATAGGTATAATACCTATAGAAGCGTAGATTGCGTCATATTTATTTCCATTATTACGAGTTGCTCTTTGCGAACTTGCAGTCCTTCCAAATCCGCATTCAAGCAAGAACATGCGGTTCCTGTTGGCATTGACAGGATAAAAATGTAGTGTGGCACGCCATTCTAGACTGTTAAGTTAGCTTATTCAAAATACTTAACACAAAAAAAAAAAACTTGCAAACATTAAAAGATAATGTTTGACAAATCTTCAGAGATAAGTGATATGTTTTGTGTTTCGTCGCTCGCGACTCCAAAACGATCTGCTTCGTAGATTTTGCTGATTACGCCAGACCAACGAATGTGGCGTGATTTTGCAGAACAAAATTGTCAAGTTTCCCAGGTCAATTACTATCTTCCCAAGGACGCACCAGTGCGTTCATTACACTGGCATGCAAATTGAGACAGTGGACATTTATAGCCCATGTCGAAAGCAAATGAAACTTCCTGACAGTGATACGTCTTAATGTATAATCACTGCAAAACCCCTACCAAAGAAAAAAAATATGCATTTTGAAGAACACGGCGAACATCTTGTCTTTCGTACGATGCATGGAGAAGTCTGACCGCGGTTTAATACATCGTACAAAAGGCAGTCGGCAGACACTAGACAGTTTTAGGGAACCGTTACGAAACAGTACCGTATCGGATGGGCAAAAACGGTTCCCTAAAACTCCCTAATGTCCGACGCGTGTTGCTTCCTTATAGGAACGGTCCAGTCAGGTTGATCGTATACAAAAGCTTTCTGCCGACATATACAGTTGTATGAAGCAAACCTGCTTTCTAATATGCTAAAGGCGTTTCCGCAGATAATTCTGTCATCACGTCGTTTCTGTACGATGTGTGAGCATTCTGACTGGGGATATTTGGGGTACATTATATATATTCCCGTTACCGCAGAGATCGACCACGACGCGGCGGGCCCTCATCCCGAATTCCCGTTCGCGCACTGATCTTTCGTGAGCTGCCTCGGATCATTATTGGATTATCTATGAGCTGACTTAGATTATTTGAATCTCGGAGTTATTTACGCGACTGCCTCCACATCATTATCCAAACGACTATACTTGAGCAAGTTATAGCGAAAGACAAACTGAACGAAATAATTTGCTTCTGCTCTCTAAATTAATTAACCGGAACATTTTTTTTCTTTCTGTTTAGTGGCGTTTTTAGTTTAGTGGCGAAAAATTCGTTCTTTTAGTTTAGTGGTGGTACGCGCGAGTTTATATATACTTGCGTCACGCTTCTGTCAGTATGTCTGTGCAAAACAAACCACACAATTGTTTCTTGACGTGTTTAATGAAACAAACAAAAAAGTCAGAAGATGATAAATTACAATATAAAGCTCAACTTCACAATTCTTGAACTCATCTCTAAGGTGTTTGATGGTCGTTTGACGTGATCATCAAAGTGAAAAAGTAATAGAAATAAAAAGCGATGCCGGCATTTTCTGACCAGTAAATTGTCTCGACTCATTGAGCCCTAAATTTTGGGCTTTTTGTGTTTGAAGAGCCACGGCGTGAGGAAACAAAACCATCGGGGTTGCCTTCTGGTGACCGTGAGTGAGTGATAGAGATGATGGAAAAACAGGGAGGTTTGCTCGGACATGTTGTCTGTAAACGATATACATATGATCCTGGGATCGTTGGATAAAAGTAAGTCTGATAGAGCTGCGTCCCGCTCAGAAGGCCACTGTTACGAGCTTCCTTCCCCGAAAATTGAATTTGTTATCTGTGAAGAACAGGTGAAGGACACGTGGTTCTAGGTTTCCATGACTTATCTTTAGAAAGCACTTGATTCAGGTACCGCTGTATGAATATTTCTTGTCCTTAAGTGTGTAGAACTATAGGGTTCACTGGTCAATCCCTCTCCGCTCCGCGCATTGTCCACAGCATAAAAAAACAACAGAGACAAACTAGTGCTTCATGTTAATGAAAAAGGATAGTGGGGTATATGTTGTACGTGCGCAGGTATAAGAGCAGATTAAGTACGCATCCTTGCTGTCTTTACGTGCACGTGGTGTTAGTAATGTCATCAGCTATACTCAAGTGTACATAACTACGTTACACAGGCGAAAGCATGTTTTCCTTTTTAAATTGCGCCGGTGAGACGGTCAGATTCAAATGTGAAAAGTTTCGAGCCTACACTCTGTGAAGATTATGTATTGGGGCTTTGAGATGGTGTCGCTGCATTGCTATAGATTTGCTCATGCATGCGCCCTGGAAGCCACCAATGATGCAACGATGCACAATTCAATGCACCTAGTCTTGTTTTTCTTCTGCGTAGCCATCAAGCGACAAGGTAGTATCAGATTAAGGTAGCAAAGGAGCACTGTTTGATCAAGACTGACAAACTGTTTGATCAAGACTGACAAACTGTTTGATCAAGACTGACAAACTGTTTGATCAAGACTGACAAACTGTTTGATCAAGACTGACAAACTGTTTGATCAAGACTCACAAACTGTTTGATCAAGACTGACAAACTGTTTGATCAAGACTGACAAAGTGTTTGATCAAGACTGACAAACTCTTTGATCAAGACTGACAAACTGTTTGATCACTTACTTCGTCTTTCCTGTCATATAGCGTCGTTTTTTTTCCCTCTTTAAGCAGCTATTTTATTCACTACATCCCTCTCTATCCCAGCGCAGGGTAGACAACGGGGACAAATATATCGGAGTAACTTTGTGTCTTTCTGTAGAGCCTTTTCTCCAATCGTCCCTTAAATCGCCACACGAAGAATTTAAGACAGTTTTCGAAAGATTGATTTATAAGGCCTTACAGTCCGAGTTTGATAATAAAACTAACAATAAACTACATGCTGTCGAACCTTTTTTTGGACTGTGGGAGAGTTAACATCACAGAAACCGTTCCCGTGAAATTTTGATATCCCGCCTAAGGATTGACCACTCGCGCTTAACACAGTTGTATTTGCTTTGTGGTGAAGATGCTTCACTGTGTGAGCATTTTGGCAAAGTAGTGACTGTCTTGCACATTTTGTGGCACTGCAGGTATCTAGATCAACAGCGACGATCATGTTTTCCAGATCTTTTTAAAGGAGCGATGCAACAATTTTTGTACTGTGCACAAATACCGCTTAAAACGGATCCCTAACGTTAATGACCTATGAAACACGCGTTCATTTTTCACCCCACGCAATAGAAGTCCCAGAAGAAAAATTTAAGAAAAACGAGCAGCGTTCACCCCCTCAACTCGCAGCCAGAACAAGCGGCCACGTGATCTGGAGCCGATTATATGCCGCCAGTGTTGATCATAGCCACGCGCTGGGGTTGGCAAAGCGCAGGACACGCGCTGAGTTCCAGACATTGTTATGGCTCGGCTGTTGTCGTCGTTGCAGCGATTGGACACGGGCCACTACCCGGATGCTGCTCGAGCTAGCAATTGTCACGAGCCCAAGTCGAGTGCCCACGCAATGCTCGGGTCCAATCTATGAACCGCATTCAAATATCGTCACTTGGGAGTACTGCGATCCCCGAGTTACGTCATCAAATTTTGCAAAGGAGATATTGCATGAAAATGATGGCTTTTGTCCTTGAAATTACACCGCAACAAAGGAGTTTCTTGGCCAATGGCGTTGCGTGTGAGTATCCTTGAGTCCCAGGTGTGCCAGTAAGCTCGTGCAGAGAGAAAAACATTCCAATTGAATATCGTTGCACAGCTCCTTTAAGTATCGTCTCCCGTTTCATTTTGCCTTCCTTCTTGGCGACGAGCATCTAGTCATTATCGGCGTTTTTTATAGTTTCTTAACGCAACTGGCTCTACGCACCGGTTTGTAACTCTTATTCACCAAATATGTCCCTCTCGTTGAAGACTTTAAAATATTGCAAAATATGGTCAGGCTGATTTTGCAGCATGAAACCCATATTCATAATTTTTAGACCCGGAACTCATGTTCATATGTTATTCACGGCTCACGTTCACAGTCTTATTACATCATCAGCTACTACAGCTTTGGTTACTCCTTAATTCTCGTTTCTTCAATAATCTCCGGTATACACTTGGCGCATTTTGGACCCTCGTAGCTCTCGCGCTAACCAAACTCCAATCACCATCGACTTTCCTGCAACCCAGGCACCACCGATATTGGCGCCCAATGTAGGGTTGGACTTTTTCTGAGCATAAATTCTGGCGACCATCATGATTTGCCTCGAATCACAGTGGCCCTGTGTCACTTAATTCCCAATCGAGTGTGAATGGGATGCCGTAGCAGAGCAATGGCGGCGTCCAGTGGTTTCGTTTTCCGTCTTTCTTTGCTTTAGAGTAGCATCTTGCTCCGGTACGGAAAACTTGGTTCCTCCCATCAACGCGGATGGTGCTCATCGGTGATCGTTTTGTTGGAACAGTGTTTTAGTGACATTTAAAGCATCACACCTATGCATAATGCGTATAAACACAACTGTCACCTTTGTTTCTTCGCGTGCTGCAGTTCACCATATGGAGACGTCGAATCGAATTATGGCGGGGTCACGCAAAACGAAATGACAATATTAACTAGCTGATGAAGACGTCACACACAAACACGGTGTCCCACGTCCGGCAGACCCTAATCCGACTTACCCGTCGCCGCAGCCGCAGCCAGCAGAGACGCGGCGGCCGCAGTCCTCGCACCACCGAAGATCCTCTCCCTGTCCTTGGCCATCGCCGCCGCCGATCCGTGATGATCGGCCAGAATCGCCGTCACGCCGAACTTGAGCGGAGGCGTCGTCCGCACCTCGTCCTCGTCGCGGGGCGTCATGCCGGAGCTAGACACGAGGGCGCCGCAGCACTCTTGCAGCACGGCGGCGTGGTTGCCGCCCGCAGAAGCCGGGGACGTACCGTCACTGCGCGACAGCAAGTTGTCCACGAGGAAAGAACTGTTGGTGGCACTTCCGGATGAAGACCGCTGGTGGTGGTGCTGCGGCGTGTGATGAAGCTGGAGGATCGGACCTGGCGTCGGGTACATTGCCGCGCACCCGGGTAGCGCGCGCATCGGCTCCGCTATGAATTATACACGAGTTGGGGGGATGGCATCCCGGTGCCGGCGCGCTCTCTCTCGCGAGCCGCAGCGGCGGCGGAGCAAACCCAGTCCCCCGGATCAATGCATGGGCCAGCCGGAGGGGGGGTAAAGGCGGTGCTATTGGTCGGCGCGGGATCGGGTTTGTGCCTCTTTTTTTCTTTGTGTGTTGCGCGCCGGCGAAGCGCCGGCGCATTATGCGCGAAGGACCGCCCCGAAAAAACGTTCCGCCGCGCAGTTGCGCGTTAGTGTGTGTGCGCGCGCCCGCGCGCGCGCTAGTTTGTGCGAGGGTGAGGGAAGGTGGTTCTCGGGCGAGCACCAGATTCGTGCGCGGGGTTCCGGAACGGTGTTTGAGTATGAGGTTTATAGGCACCCGCCGCCGCCTCGCCCGCGCTCGGCGATCATTGACGTGTTGACGCGATGAGAGCCGCGAGCCGCGTAGGGCTTTGGCTTTTGCCACGTGCTCGTCGCTTTGGTGGGAGTGCTGAAGAAAAGAGGAGAAGGCGATCTTTCTGATGCAACGTGGACAAAGCTACATGCGCGTACCTTTTCTTTTCTCCTTTCACTGGAGTGCGATCGAGACATATAGCCTAATCCCGGAGAAGACAAGGAGAAATAAAGTATCGTTTTGTCCGTTACTTTTTGTTTCTCTTTGTCTGGGGATTTAGATTATGATGCTTCTGCCTGGATTCGTCCTTTGAACTCACATAAAAAAATGCCCCTGCCCCTTTTTTTGACGTGCTATGCTTTTGAATTCAGCAGCACAGAGTTGACTAATATGCAAAATCCCCCCCCCCCCAAAGAAAAAAAAAACGGTAAATATTTTTGTTTTGGGGGGACACCCTGTACTTCATGCACAAAAATGAGGCTAAAGACAGGAGCACTTACCTCTCGTTGCTCGAAGCGAAATTCCAACAAAAAGCAGCGCAAGTGTGGGAGAAAAAAAAAAAAAAAAAAAAAAAAAAAAAAAAAACACACACACACACAAAGAAACACGTTTTTCCTTGGTTTTTTTTGTTTTTGTTTTTTTTTAATCTTTACATAAGGTATCGGTTGCGCCCATCACGCGTTAACTGACACAAGAAGTGCGACTCTCGAGAGGAGTTGGCCATGGATCGTTTCAGCATTTTTGTCTTGAAGCGACAACCGGGAAGAACATCTACGATGAATGGTTCAAGACAGAGTGGAGCTCCACCCGAGAGCATGCTTGCCTTGCAGTGAAGTGGTGACTACCGGCATGTGTTACGTCAGAAACCATTTTATCTCTTAGCAAGAAGCAATTCATAGTTGACGTTATCGAAGAATTTTGCAGTGACGTGATTGGTGCGCCGTTTGCGCCGAACTGCGGCCAAATTGCTTACCCTGCTACAGCTGGCAACAATTTGCCGAAATATGTGAAATTTGCGCCAACAATTTTGCCAAAACTTATCTGCACTTTATTAATTAGTTAAAATATAATAGCCCGGGCCTCGCTACACGATCGGATCGTGACGGTAGTCTGGCGCAAATTTTCGAGACTGTTAGTTGTCACCTCCCATAACGTATTATTTGAGTTTATCTGTGTACCGAACAGAGACAGTATGCTCAAAAGTTTCACAATAATCGGCATGTTCGTGGTCTCTTCTGACGGGTTATACTTAGCTCTGTTGAGTGCGCTTCTTCCCGTACGCTGCTGCACAGCAGTGAAGCGACAACCGCAAAGTAATCATCGCAACTTTGCGCAGCTTGCTTCGCCGCAGCGCACCCTTACTCTAAGGAGAAAATACTTCTCCAAAGCAAAACTGCAAAAAATTATAAATGCAAAAAAAAAAAAATATATATATACATATATAATTAAAGATTGACGACCAGTTCGCGCGCTTTCCACTTTTTCCCCGCTTCCTCCTCTCCCCCTTCTACCCTGTCCACCATTGCCTGTTTCCTCCTCCTCCATGATGAGGAGGATCTTCTGCCTTGCAGAATCTCGAATCTGGTCGTCGGCCTTTAACTAAAAAAAGAACTGCGGTTATTAATTTATGAACAGTAATATTTTGATGACATTGTGTTTTTCAAGTAGGAGATTTAGCTGGTATACTTGGAAATTCCAAGAAGATTTACATGGACTGCTCTATATGTTTATGTTTCATGCCAGCTCTTTGTTCAGTTATCACTTTATCTAAGTTCCATCTGTGCGATGATGACGCACTCGATACAGTAACTCAAAACTAAATTAGCTAGAACAGTGGATGGAAGCATGGAAATAACCTTAGCAAGTTCTGCTGTTTTTTTAAGCATATTTATCGTCCACATGCTGATGTTTATGTTATCATAAAGTTCTAGATACAAAACTTAATTGATCATAGTAGAATGACAAACCTTTTGTTTTCATCTGAAGGTTTTATTACAACTTTGAGTACTTTTGAATGAAACGTCATTTCGGGTGTTCAACATTGTTCTATATTCTAACATAATTTCAGTGGTACGCACTACTTGGTTTATACCTACGATTCTGTACATAAAATGACCATTCACGTCAGTTCGTACTGTCCTTCATAAATCAGCATATCATTGCTGTGTGTGGTGCTTGTACGCAAAATTAAATAGGTAGTTTAGTGTTTAAGTAAATCAAGCCTGCCATGCAATTGGCGGTAACCAAAGGGTGTCTGCAAGTTGGAAGTAAAACCGACAGTGTTTTGTAGTCTGACAAGGCTACCACACGAATCTTAACGTAATATTTGCAGCAAAAGTGTGCGCTCATAAGCTCCAAAGGTTCTTGTTGCTGCTCAAAAAATTGGCATTTTGGCTGCTCCAAAAACTGCTCCAAAATTATTCGAGCCAGTCATATCACTGAACCTTTGTCGCGTATAAATGACCCGCATCAATCTGCCCACAGTTCTTAATGACTGGGGCACAGAACTCCATGAACAAAACACAGATTAGACTCTACCGAGCGGCACTACAAAAACCATTTCGCGCCGAAATTAATTTTGTGCCAAAAGAAGCGACACGAGCGCGTAAAAACTCTAATCTAAAAATAATCTTGGATGTATTTGATAGCATTAATACCGACTTATTTATTTATTTACAATACCCTCAAGGCTGTGAGGCGTTAGAGAGGGGAGTGGGCATTACAATATTGCTGAATCACTTCGCGAAATGTGGCGGAGTCCTCGATGGCTGCGATGTCACCGGGAAGGTCATTCCAGTCCACAATTACGTCGGGGAGAAGGGCGTTTTGATGTGCTGTGGAAAGACATCGCGGCCGGGCTATTTTTTTTTAGGATGATCTAGTCTAGAAGACGAATAGGTTGGCGGAGTGAGAAGAGGCTGATGTAGTAGGGGCGAATAATAGACTTTATGCAAGAGGCACAGACGAAAAAGTTTCCGCCAGGTAGCAAATAAGGGAAGAGGAAGGTCAGAATTTAATCAAGTAACACTAGAAAAAACGTGAGTAGTCAGATTGAATGAACCGGGCGGCACAGTTTTGGACAACCTCAATACTGCCTGTTAGTGAAGAAAAGTGAGGGTGCTAAATGGAGGATGCATACTCTAATTTCGATCGTACTAAGGAAATGTACAGAAGTCTCTAAGTTACTTGGGACAGATCTGAAGTTGCGACGGAGGTAACCTAGGTTTCGGTTAGCAGCAGGCACCACTGAATTAATATGACTGTCCGAAGCGAGGTTTTTAGTTAGAAGAACACCAATATAGTTGTATGTGTGTTTGGGAAAGGAAGTTTGGAAGGTGGAACGAGAGAAGCGCATGTGTTTACATTTGTTAACGTTGAGGGACATTTGCGAATTACTACACCATTTATGAATAGAGTCAATAGATAGAGTAACATATATAGAGTTATGATAAATAGAGTTATAATTGTGTTTTTTTTTAATTATCATTAGGGTCCTCATATTTGAAACCGGTTATAAATCTGGAGATTGCACATTTTCACACAGTAAGTTTCCTGGACGTTTCCACACAGTCGGAGATAAATTGTATTTGAGAGAAAAACAAAAGCTTACAAACTTGTGCTAAAAATACAGGAAGAGCCTTTTAAAATGAAACTACTATCCTTGTTTTCACCACAAGAACCATAGAAAAAAAGTCGGGGCTTCTCGTGGAGCATAGCCGCTTTTCCCCTTTATGTAGAAAATTAAGATATGTGTAGGTCTATTTTAAATTAGGCGTGTGATATCTTAGCAAGACCCACACGTTCCAGATGCCAAAAGCATCGCTCCATCTTTCTACAAATAAATTTTGTAAGAACTAGAACAATGTGCAAAACTTCCTTTTTTTTTTTCTTCTTTTTCTTTTTCTAAGGTGGAACCTAGATGGTCATTAAAACCCAGGAATTCCTTTGGCTTGAGTTTCTTAACCGCCTCAATTATTGCACAGATGTCCACGTCCAGTGCTACCATCCCGTCAGTGGCGTAACTAGATATGACGGCGCCCATGGCAAATGAAATTTCGCGTCCCTCATAATGATAGTGTTAAAGACATCATCATCATCATCATTATAATATTATTATAGGTGGACTCGGCTCGGCGCCCCCTTTCCAAGTGGCGCCTGGGGCACTTGTACCCCCCTGCCCCCCCCCCCCCCCCCCCCCCCCTCCAGTTACACTACTGCATCCCGTCTCCACTCCAATCAGTGGGGAATGTATCATCGTACAAAGTGTCCGATGAAAAAGGAGTACGAAAAACCTTCGAACATGTTTGACGCTAGCACTTCCAAGGAATAGAAATCACAGCATCCATCTCTTATAAAGTCTGTCGTTGTTCATTCGTGTATTTCTTCGTATATTTCCAGAAACGTACAGAATTACTCCTAAGGCCCGCAACACTCACTTTATATCTCCTGTTATCCTGTGCATATAATGTTTTCACCGGGAATCCGCACGGCGTGTATTTGTTATGCCAGTACTGCGAGCCAGTTTCTTTATACGTTCGGTAGTAATTAAGTTTTCTACGAC